CTTGACGAGTACAAACCATTGCATACATAATACTGCCGATGGCACTAGAATATGGAACTTTCACCATATATTTTTCCTCTTCAACTGACTGTGGTGATTGAGTAGTAGATAGCCGAAAATGGCTAGCAAGAAGAGTACTAACTGGCTTAGCATTTTTCATGTCAAACCTCTCCAAGACTTTCTTGAGGTAATTTTTCTGAGTCAGAAATAATTTTCCAACTCCTCGATCTTTTTTTATCTCCATGCTAAGAATTTTCTTAACTGCTCCCAAATCTTTCATTTCAAATTCACTACTCGGCTGCATTTTCAAAGTGTGAATTTCTGACAAATTCTTAGCTACAATAAGCATGTCATCAACATAAAGCAACAAATATATAAAAGAGTCATCAGTTAACTTCCGGAAGTAAACACAACTATCATACATGCTCCTCGTGTAACCATGACCCAACATAAAAGAATCAAACCTCTTATACCACTGTCTTGGAGACTGCTTCAATCCATACAAGGATTTCTTTAACAAGCAAACATGGTCTTCCTTACCATCAACTTCAAATCCATGAGGTTGCTCCATATAAATTTGTTCTTCAAGTTCACCATGTAAGAAAGTTGTCTTGACATCAAGTTGCTCCAATTCCAAATCATACATGGCAACTAAAGTAAGCAAAACACGAATAGAGCTATGTTTAACAACAGGTGAAAATACATCATTAAAATCAACACCATGTACCTGACTATAGCCCTTTGCAACCGATCGTGCTTTGTACCTTGCATCTTCAACCCTTGGAATACCTTCCTTCCTTTTGAAGACCCATTTGCATCCAACAATTTTCTTACCCGAAGGCGGCTTCACAAGATCCCAAGTTCTATTCCGATGGAGAGATCCAATTTCTTCATTCATCGCAATAAACCACTTAGCGGAATTATCACAAGAAACTGCATCTGAGTAGGAAGTAGGCTCACTAACTTCACTTGTTTCTTCTGCAACAGACAAAGCATATGCAACCAAATTTGCATATCTTTGTGGTGGTCGAATATCTCTCCGTGGTCTATCCTTGGCTATGGAATATTGCTCTTCCTCTGGATCATCTACGTCAGTAGACTCGGGACCATCTACTGGCATTCTTTGAGTAGAAGAGTTCGACTGAAAAGAATCAGACCTACCAATCTCAAGCTCCACCTGCTTTTGCGCACTATCATTTGTACAACTAGTAGAATCCTCTTTAGAAGATAACATAGATAATTCATCAAAAGTAACATCTCTACTGATTACAAATTTTGGGGATTTAGGATCAGAACACCATAATCTATATCCTTTCACCCCAAAAGCATACCCAAGGAAAATGCACTTTTTAGCTCGAGGCTCTAATTTTCCTTCATTTACATGCATGTATGCTGGACACCCAAAAATTTTTAAATTAGAGTAATCAGTAGGAGTGCCTAACCAAACTTCCTCCGGAGTTTTAAAGTTAAGTGCTGCGGAAGGAGCACGGTTGACAACGTAACAGGCCATATTAATTGCCTCTGCCCAAAAGTCCTTTGTCAACCCTGCATTTGAGATCATACATCTTGCTCTCTCCAAGAGTGTTATGTTCATACATTCGGCCACACCATTTTGTTGAGGCGTCATCCTAACAGTGCGATGCCAAACAATTCCTTTATTTTTGCAGAATTCATTAAAGTCACCTTCACAAAATTCCATGCCATTATCTATTCGAAGCCGCTTAATTTGTTTACCTGTTTGCTTCTCAATCAAAGCCTTCCATTGTTTAAAGGTTAGAAAAACATCATTTTTATGCTTCAGAAAATAAACCCAAACTTTCTTGGAATAATCGTCAATGAAAGTCAACATATACCTAGCACCACCCTTAGATTGAACATGAGCTGAACCTCAAAGGTCTGAATGAATATAGTCAAGAGTACCTTTCATTTTGTGAACTGCCGGAGAATTGAAGCTGACACTTTTCTGCTTTCCAAAAATGCAGTGTTCACAAAAATCCAGTGGCCCAGTACTCTGTCCACAAAGTAGACACCTTTTGCTCAATATGCTCAAACATTTTTCGCTTATATGACCCAAACGCATATGTCATAATTTGGTGATGTCAGAATCAGACAATGATGATGATGAGACTGCAATTGAGCTCGTGACAGTAGTTCCCTGCAAAATATATAAGCTACCAGACCTACAAGCTTTTATAACAACAAGGGCACTTCTAGAAACTTTCATAACTTCACATTCAGCTATGTATTTACACCCAAGGGCCTCTAGGGTGCCTAAAGAGATGAGATTCTTTTTGAAATCAGGAACATGTTTAACATTAGTGAGCGTCCTCACAATACCATCATGCATTTTAATTCGGATTGTTCCTCTACCAACAACATCATATGCTGCATTATTGCCCATCAAAACAATTCCACCGTTATAAGATTCATATGTGAAAAACAAATCTCTATTAGGACACATGTGATAAGAACAACCTGAATCTAAAATCCATTCATTTTTAGACCTCATCCTATCATCAGTAGAGAGAAAATATTTCCAACATTCTCATCAGTTGCTACACTAGCTTCAGTGGATTCAGTAGTTTTCTCAACAATTTTTTCCTTTTGCTTTAATTTATTTTTCAATTTAAAGCAATCAGCCTTAATGTGCCCCATTTTATTACAATATCTACATTCTAAATTTCTATGTCTGGATTTAGATCTAGATTTAGATCTACTACTGTCAAATTCTTTTTTATCTATTCTCTCCCTAACAACCAGACCTTCAGCCTGATTCTCTCTACTTTCCCTAGTGATATCTTTGTCTATCTGCTCCTTAGATTTTAGTGTAGATTTAATTTCTTGATATGAAATTGTTTCTTTTCCATAAATCATAGTATCATAGAAATTCTTAAAAGATTGGGAAAGAGAACACAAAAGAAATAGGGCCTTATCCTCATTATCAATTTTTGCATCTATATTCTCCAAATCCATAACTAAGGAATCAAATTTATTAAGATGTGAGAGTATAGATGTACCTTCAGTCATCCGAAGTATATACAAACTCTGCTTTAAGTAGAGACGATTCTCTACTGTCCTCTTCATATACAAGGCTTTAAGCTTGTCCCACATGTTCTTAGCCGTAGTCTCCATAGCTACCTCCCGTAAAACCTCGTTAGAGAGGTTTAGAATAATGCTGGATCGGGTCTTCTTATCTATACCCGCAAGATCTTCCTTTGACGTACTATCTGGAATGTTCTCAACTCCCTATAGTGCCAAATCAACTCCGACTTAAATCAGAATGACCTCCATCTTGAGTTGCCACATGCCGAAGTTGACATTTCTGTCAAATTTCTCGACAACAATCTTTGTTATTATCATCGTTGCCAAAAGATCCCGAAACCAAGCTCTGATACCAGTTTGTTAGAGCTAGCCCCAAGAAATTTACCAAATGGTAATTTTGGCAACCTAACAAAGACAATAAAGCGAAAAGATAAAAGCGACAAGAACACCATATTTACATGGTTCGGTCAATTAACCTTGACCTATATCCACGGACGAAAGATGAGCAAATCACTACTATAAAATAGATTGTTATAAATGCCTTAGGAAGATGTTCCTAGGCCATAAAACATCCGAAAATACTAAATAAGAAAAACCTCAACTATAAGCCCAAACTATTTAACTGAGTGTGGACTTAAACCCAAAGCAAACACTTAGGTTTTTCTTGTGGTGCCACTTGTGGTGCATCTGACTTTAAAGCTCAGGCTCTTATTTATAGTTCCAATAAGAGATAACAAGCCTGGTTTTCCTGATATGAGACTATGGGACTTGCCAAACTAACATACCTCGTAGAAGAGGATGAGAAAGAGAACATACCTTAACCTAGTTTCCAGCCATGAACCCCCAAGCTTCTTCCTCTGCCTTGCCTGACTCGGGAAACCAAGAAGAATGTCCTCCAAAAAAGAAAAAGTTGCTAAAAATCCAACAACGCATAGAAGCCTCGGGAGAAATCCTCTTAACCCAGATGAGAGGAAGGAGAGGCCCGAAGCCAACAAAGTGGAAGGAGACCATTCCCTCAGGAGAAATCCAATAAAGCGGAAGGAGAGGCCCGAGGCCAAAAGGTGAACTCTAACAAGATTGGGCTACCTTGTAGAAGAGGATAAGAAAGAGAACAGACCTTAACCCAGTTTCTAGCCATGACCCCCAATCTTCTTCCCCTGCCTTGCTTGACTTGGAGAACAACATATATAAATCAGAATCAGCTCGCCTAAAATTACAATATTATCCCTCACTTTCGGACGTCGAAGTTGACTTGTTGGATCAGAAACGCGAACAAACAAGTAAATTTGCCATCCGAGTAGAGAAATGATGGGTGCGTCTTCGTGAGTCTTGCTTGTCGTATTACAGGCGGGTGATGACTCGATCACTGCTCAAGTTGCCACTGCCCCAGTAGATTACGAAGAGAAATGAGCTCCTGATCATCCATTTGAGATATATCAGGAACTAGTATCAAAGAGCTCGGATCACCCATTTAAAATGTTATCAAGAAGTGGTGGTTGGCTGTAAACCGAAGGAACTCAATAGTTATCGCCCGTGGTTTTGGTGTTGCGGTTTCGATGCATCTCACCACTGCAGCTCCAGGCTCCGAAGGTGTTATATCTTGAAGTGATCAACAACCGGGTATCGATTGGATGACAGAATGCAGCATGTCCCAAGAGTCCTGGCACTGTGGCTCCATTATATGTCAGCACAACTGAAGAAGAAGATCAAGCTGTTTGCATGCCTTCAAGCCTGTACAACTTCTATAGAGAATAATCTATAGAAGTTCTACATCAACTCATCAAACTCCACATGAAACATGTTATATGACTTGAATGTCATTCATATGGTTACAAATAGACCGTTATAAGAACAGTTGAAGCAGTATAAATCAAGGCTCCCATGATCGTTGCAGATATGTCCTATATATAAACAAGTCCAACAAAAGCAGGACATCAATTCAGAAGATAGCAGCTCAATTTAGGAAAATAAGCTATATATATAGCGTGACACAAGATAAGAACATCATTTGCTTATTACATAAAGGGGTAATAATATATGCCGCCAACATATCAAAATAAAATTTTCTTGTGCCTAAAAGAAACGAGAAAACTTGGCAATCACATCCAATTTTTGAATAGCCATCCTTACATTTTAGCTCAGCAATATGCCATCATCACTATGTTGTTATTCCACCAGAGCCTTCTGCGTTTTTTCTGTCTGATGCTATGGAAACACTAATGATGCACTCCCGTTCTGCCGCATTGGAAGTACATAAGCTAAAATGGCTAAAGCAATCGAGATAAATGTGATAGAGTTTGGCATGCGCCCGCCACCACTGCGTAAGAACATGGCTTCATAGACAGGGATGTTGATAAGAACAACTGTGCCACACACAACAAGCTGCACCAACAATGAGTCTGGCGATCCGACTTCTCCCTCCCAGACCATCTGCTTTACTCCACTCATCAGGCAAATGACATTGAGTATCGCTATCGTAGCCAGGATTGTGAACATGAGAGAATGTGAGCCAAACTCCATGATCTCTTGCTCGTATCTCTTCGAGACCTCTTTATCAGCCACCTTCGCTGTAACAACGAATGCAGACTTGTTAACGCCTAGTAGTTTGAGGAAGGTGTCGACAACTGCAAAGGGGTAAGAAGCCAATCTTTTGAAAAGCCACATCCTCTGCTCATTCCACCAACCCTTCAGTGTATATCCAGCCCATAATGATTCTGATAGGCTATATAATTTTGTTGCAACGATCACATACGCAAATGGCATGAACCAGATGCTGTTTATCTGTCAATAGTGTGAACAAACATGTGAGCCTGTGAAAGATTTAGACCGATGAAATCAGGAAAAGGGGAAGATTCTCACGTTGGGGTACAAGGAAATGCAATGCAGGAGTGCCATAGGTAGGATAACAACATAGTACAGTGTTGGCAAGGAGCAAGGAGACCATAAACAGTACATAGTGTATGCCAATTTCAGGCCTAACGTTATTTTATCATGGCCGAAGATGAACGGGCAGTACTTGGAGAAGAATATTTGGAGATCCCCCTCAGACCATCTCTTGTGCTGCACCAGGGTCTGTGCCAATGTGACAGGGGCAACTCCCAAGAACCCTGTCCTTGAAGGATTGAAGTAGATGGACTTCCAACCCCTGCATTGGATTGACAACCCGGTGATCACATCCTCCACAGGGGATCCATACTTGAGACCCATCTGCAAGTCCATACACATTGAGCTCATTAGAAAAGGATCATGATGAATGATTATTGCGTCCAGCTGCTAGATGTTCATATCACGAAAGTTAAATAACATACAGCAAAATGGGTTATGAAGAACACCTCTTTTCCCCATTCAGTGTTATTCTCATAGCTGCATGTAACAAGATGCTTAGCTTTCTCCTCCAAGATGGATGTGTTTGCTTCTAAGTTCTTCCTGCTCAGTTCTAGTTGTGCCTTGGAATTTGCATCATACTTTTTGCCCATTAGACATTCCCTTCTGTGGAAACAACCGGATCCAGTATACAGAGGCCCTCCAACTCCATCTAAACCATGGAAATCCACCTTCATGACCAAGCAATTTAAAGTGTTCAACAAATTATAGAAGCATTGTGAAATTTCTGGCATATGATTTTGATTTAAATCATACTTTTACTCTTCTAGGTGGAAAATAAACTTCATAAACTATCCAAAGCAACATACATGGATGGAGACTCCCTGAAGCTGAACTAGTCCACTCCTGGTGTTAAGTTTCAAGTAATGTCTAGATATCAGCATGTAGTCAGCCTCAATTTTCCCTTATTTAATCTAAATCTCTGTATTTTTTATCTTTAAACCAATGGCCTAAAAGGAATTCAGTAATAACTAATTTCTAAGCACTAAACCAATTAAGAAAAGTTAAGCTTAAACAAATGGGAATTTTTTTTTTGAATCTAAAAGAGAATAACCTTCTTAATTTAGATTACCTCGGTCATTAATCGCAAGGAATTGCCATAGATGTCATTCTTTGTGATGTTTTTGAAGATTTGTGGGAGTTGTACATATGCAAACTCATGACCCTTCTCTTCATCCATAAGAAAACATAGTGCATCTTTCACAATCTCTGAATTGTTCGAGTACATGTCGCAGTCCACATTGAGAATGATTGCACCATTGCTTATCTCTGATGAAACTCTAAGCTGTGTATAACAAAAGATTATTGGAAAACACAAAATATTAATGATGTGAGTCCTTTCAGAAAAAAGAAAAGACAACAGATGCGAAGTCTTTTTTCTGTATGGAAGACCTTTTTTGCTTTCTTATGGAAATAAAAGGAAAAAAATTCTGCAAAATTTAATATATTCCTCTGAGTTGCCTAGAATCTATTTGTTGTCTTTTTTTTCCCCAAAAGGTAAGGAAGCAAACCCACTCCCACAAAATTTCGTTATAAAGGAATGATATCTAGACAGTGGGTAAGAAAACAGTAAAAACTTATAAGGGAGAAGTTTCCTGGTACAGGAAAAAAATCTATCATGAAATCCTGTTGTTTCTACATTTAACTGACGATGTCAACACTTCTGACTTCATGAATAGGTGAAAGGCCTGACTCCAATTCCTTAGGCGTTATCGCAACTCAAATTTCATGCATAAGGATCTAGTTCTTACCAGTGAGTTCATAGCTCCAGCTTTAAAGTTATGATGATGAGAGGGTCTCTTTTCACGAGCCATGTACACGAGCGTTGGTAACGCAAACTGTTCATCATCCAGAGATTTTTCATCTCTTCCATTGATTAGAATCTGGACATAACATTGTTGAATGAAAATCAATAAACAATTGCTTTGAATTTAGGATGTATAATATAAAGAAAAGATGATTCAGTACTTCGACGATTGCTTGGTGATCACGACGAGTTATGGCCGAGTTCCATTGGCTGAATCCCTTGTGTTGTTTATGTTGGTCAGCTGGAACTCTCCCTAGCTTAACTGCAACATCAATTCGGTTCTCCATCTCCTCGTATAAGCTCTAAACAGGAGAAAAAAAAAAGGGAAAGTGGAAAGGATCACAGATGAGTTTCCAACATCCAATTAATAAATGAACATGACTCGGATGCCATTTTACCTTTGTTGCCAACCAATCAACAGCTTCTGCTCCCTCTCTTGGGCTTACCAATGTTTCCTCAAAATAAGCAGCTGGGGATCTGGGTTCAACTTTGAATTTCTTGCAAAAAGGTAGCCAAGCTTTCGCGAACCGAGATGCCTCCAAGAGGGCATAGAAAGTGAGCTCGGACCCACTGTCATCGGAGAGGTAGACGCTAAGCTTCTCTACTGGATACTGGTATGCCATGACTGATAGTACAGTGTTGATCACCATGATTGGTGGCTCTATAGTAGGATCCGCAGTGCACACAAAGATGTCTACATTGGGCAACTTGTCTTCGTATCTAAAATTCAGGAAATGATGAACAATTTTTTAATCACAAACAATATACCTCTGTGGTTGTGCTTCATAAAAATCCTCACAACTTGAATGAATGAAATTAATTAGTGCATGTAAATCCTATCTCCTCTATGAAATTTCTACTAGTCTTCTGTCCAAGTATGAATTTAATGACCTAGACAGTGAAATTTAGAAACTATACCTCATTCAAAATCACATGCTTCATTGCAGTAAATCCATTATAACCAGCAGCTGTTTCATTCCAATCCTAAGTGCTTGGTCTTTTATAATTTATGTTTTAGCTTGAAACTTATTCCTATCTAATGTCAATAATGATATGTTTGCTCAACAAGAAGAAAAATACCAACCAGTAGCATCCAATCCTTTTCTTCTCTTTGTAGAAGCTCCAAACGACACAAATTCTTTTATCATTAATTACTCTGAATCAAAACTTGTCGAACAACAGTTTATCGAAGAAATGAGGAAAAAAAATCTCTTGAACAATAGACAGCCTGATTGTTGGTTGTCATAAATTCTCCTGGTTGACTCTCTAAATCCATATTTATATCATCTGAGTACTAAGTCATTGGCGGTTTTCAAACTTACTAAATGTATCTCAGTGGCAGGACTGATTTACCTAAACTAACTAAAATTGGACACAAGTCTCTTCCTGGCTAAGGTGTCTAGCTAAGTAGGATTCACACACACATACACCCAAATCCAACCACTAAATTTGGAGAAGATGAGTTTCCATTTGGTGGGCACTTTTCCCAGCTCTGCTTATAGGATCTGAGCTGCTCCATGCACTACTATTGTAGCCAATTGCGGGACAAAGAGTAACCACAAAAGATAGATAATTAAAGCAGGTATGCACATCATGGAAATTGCTTTTCTTTATTGCATATTTTGTCTCTATCCCCAACTTTAGAGGATTATCCACATACATGTGGTTGTGAAGTCCTCCAAGATAAAGAACAAACACAAAAGTCAGCATAGAGAAGCTAGAGATGATGGGATGGAATAGCAGTCTCATCTCGGCTTACCTCTGAGACAGCCTCTCCTTGAAGGTGTAGCGATAGGTGGGGTTCCAACGCACAGCCTGAGTGAGTATCCAGTACAAGCTAAACCAAAGCTCAGCTCCAAAGATCCCAATCCATGCCCACCACCTCCCTCGTCCTCCTCCTCCTCCTCCTGGGATCTGTAAAGCTCTGTACACCCAGATCATACACAACCCTGCAAGCACAGAGCAAAAATACAACTTGTACCATATCCTGCCTTTCGCTCTCTTGGTCTCAAACAGTACTGCTTCATCCCCTACTCCTCCTCTCATCTCTCTCTCTCTCTCTCTCTGATCTCAGCCTTTGTTTATGTACTCTGGAGGTCCTTCTTTTGGTCCCAAGTAAAGAGGCTTACATATTTTCCAAAAGGGAAGCTTATGTAAAGTTCCTCTTTTGGCCGTGATCGTTGAAACTTGAAACATGGCATGGAGTCGTGGATACACGAAGACCATCAGATGCGGATAATCTACGAAGGATGTCGCAGTGTGTTTACATAACACATTATCACTAATGGGCCATTCTTCCATCATGATGACTAATAATCCCTGCAGAAAAGGAGAAGAAAAAGGTGTTACATCTCCTGTCGCGACTGATTAAAATAATTATCATGGTCATTTGAGCAGATAAAAGACAAAAAAAAAAGAAGTATCATTTATTGTAAAACCATCTTGCAATCTATGATACTTTACTTTTTGTATTGCTAGTAGGTGATGGGCGGCTAATGATCCTTTTTCTTCCTTTTTATTATGTGGGAAGGAGACTTTATTCTTAAAAGTCAAACTTGACATGTCCAATCTTACGAGGTCAGTGATCGTTCTGTTGAGAAAAATTTTTCCTCCTAATATGTATAAATATAAAGTTTATATCAAAAATAATTTTCGTTTTTTTATCCTTTTCATGATTTATTCTCTCATGGTATCATTTTGCCTAGAGCAAACTTTCTTCCCCTCCTTGAGCTGGCACGGAGAACGCTCTTTCCTATACTGGCCGCGTCTCCATATGGTTCTCGGTCCCTTTACTCTCTCTTAGGTGACGCTGGTTCGAAGTCCGCCGTCGCTTGCTCATCCACTGTTGAAACTGCTCCTTTGACTAATAAAGGATGTGCTACAAAGATAAGAAGGACGAAACCCTTCAGAAAACTCTGTCCTTGCTGAAGTAAATGAAAAGAATCAGTGGATAGAAACCTTTGGCAGGATCAATGCTCATGGCGAATTAAGGAACCTCTCTCCACTCCGCACCGACCCGGAGCTGTCGAGTTCCCATGCACTCTAGCGCCAGTTCCAACAGCTGTTCCGTCTCCACGACTCCGACGTCGACTAGGCCCTCAATGATGCCCTACCTGTCTTCCTGTACAAAGACGGGCTCCGGTTATCGCCTGTCTGCGGGCAGACCTTCCACCTCAGCATCGTCGGTGAAGCCCGATCTCATAGAAAAGCCTCCGCATGCAATTGGGCGAGCCGAGCGATCCCTTCGGAGTGTGCAAAAAATATCCTCATCTACACCCTTGGCATCCACACGGAGATCAGCAATGCCAAATCTCCCCAATCCGTCGCCCTCCCCCATCTCTCGCCCTCTCCTCTGCCTCGGCGTATCTCTGGCAACATTGATTTGAAGCAACGAAGGTTGTTCTGCTATAGTCGCTTTCTTCCCTGAGGCTACTAAGGCACTTCCTCGACAAACAGTGGTTGTCTTCTCCCGCTGTCGTTCTGTGCTAGTGTCTCTACGTTGTCCACTCGCTATAGCCCGTCGCAGCACTTTATGTTGTCTACCCGCTCTCTGCACAAGCGGGATGTCCTCACCACATCTGTGTGGACGTTCTCTACGACTCCGAAGTCGGCCACCGGACACGCTCTTCTTCCCTACTCGGCGCATCTTCTGCTTCTTCTCTACTTTGGTTCCTGCATATTGTCGACGCGACAACCCCTTCTTCACGGCCATCCTCACTCTCGCGGTCACCTGCCGCCACAAGCCCATCGCCGTCTACATCACACTACTCCCCATCGTCCTCGGCATTATCCATCCGAAGCCTTCCGCTAGAGGTACCCGCGTACATTGGGCCCAGTCTACACCTTGCACAGCACCATTTAGAAGAGCTCGACGCTACAGGGGAGCTCGAGCGGCCCAGCGACGATCTGCGACAAGAACTGCAGAGAGCAGATTGGGACGAACTACAGAGACTTGCAGATTTCTCATAGATCTGCGACAAAAACTACAGAGAACTGCAGATTTCTCACAGATCTGCGGCAAGAACTTGCAGATCTCTTATAGACTGTAGTGATCACTGTGGCAGACTGCGGCCAAACACTTCCATTGCCGAAGACTCCTCTCCACTTCTCCCTTGGTGCAACGAGAAACAAGGAACAACTACCGTCATTCCTGACGAGAAGAGATAACGTAGCAGCCCAAATATCTTGTGCAAAGAAGGCGAGCTGATCAACCACATCGGAAAAGAAACTCTACACTACTTGAAGTAACTCATCCAATCCCGATCGCTGTCCAGCCTCTCAACAGCATTGTTACGATCAAAAGCGGCACTAAGAGGGTGGGGGAGGGTAAATTAGTGCTGCGAAAAAATTATATCCTTTTGAAAATCTTTGTATTATAAAAATCAATTTTGATGAAAACTATTTGTTTGACTTATATAAGTTTACAAGTGAATAAAGAAGAGGGGATTGAATAATTTGCAATGAAGTAAAGTAGAATATAGTAAAGAGAATAAGTAGTAACGAAAGAACACATCAGAATTTATAGTGGTTCGGTCGTAGTGACCTACATCCACTTCCAATTCCTCCTCCGTTGAGATTACCGATGTCCACTAAAGGTCTTCCTTCAATAGGAGAAGACCAATCACCTCTTTATAGCACTTTTTCATTTTCATAGGTTTAGGAGATAACTCTTACAAATTACACTTTTACAAATATTCCCTCATATACCTCTCTTAGGACTAATTCTAAGCACTAGGAGGAGGGTGTTAGGATCCTTTTTTTTAAGCTTTTGAATAATATTTATTGAGTCTATTTAGTCCAATTGTTTATTGAGTCTGTTTAGTTCAGTTAGAATCAGGTAGAGATTTATTTAATATTTATTTATTATTAAGAGTCCATGGTGGACCCTAGGTGGAACTCTATAAATAGTGATGTAATACTTTCTTTTAATCAATCAAGCAATTAATGAAATATTATTATGAAGTCTTATGGCAAACCTTGGGAGGTCGATCCCCTCAAAGCGATCAAGGAGTCCAATCTCCTCGAAGTGATCAAGGGAGCCGATCCCCTCAAAGCGATCATTCTCATTTCATTTTCTATGGTTTCTTCCATGATAAGACTTTAGGGTCTTATCATTTGGTATCAGAGCCTTATCATTTGATATTATTAGTTTGGCAAGTCCCACATAATCCCACATCGGGAAAATCAAGCTTGTTATCTCTTATTGCAACTATAAATAAAGGCTTAGGCTTCGAAGTCATATGTAACATAAGAAAACCTAATTGTTTGCTTTAGGCTTTTCTTGTTTAGTAGTTTCAGATGTTTTAAAGCATTTGTGATTATCCCTTTTATAGTAGTGATTTACTCTTCCTTCGTCCGTGGATGTAGGTCAATTGACCGAACCACGTAAATATAGTGTTCTTGTCTCTTTTATTTTTTCTACTTTATTGTCTTTATTGGGTTGCCAAATTATCCTTTGGTAAATTTCTTGGGGCTAGCTCTAACAAACTGGTATCAAAGCTTGGTTTCAGGATTTTTTGGTAACAATGACAATAACAAAGATCGTTGTCGAGAAATTCGACAGAAATATCAACTTCGGCATGTGGTAGCTCAAGATGGAGGCCATTCTGGTTCAAGACTGAGTTGATTTGGCACTACAGGAAGCTGAGAACATTCCAAATGATATGTCAAAGGAAGATTTTGCAAGTATGGATAAGAAAGCTCGATCAAGCATTATTCTAAATCTCTCTGACGAGGTTTTATAGGAGGTAGCTATGGAGACTATGGCTAAGAGCATGTGGGACAAGCTTAAAGCCTTGTATATGAAGAGGACAGTGGAGAATCGTCTCTACTTGAAATAGAGTTTGTATATGCTTCGGATGACTGAAGGTATATCTATACTCTCACATCTTGATAAATTTGATTCCTTAGTTATGGATTTAGAGAATATAGATGCGAAAATTGATGACGAGGATAAGGCCCTATTACTTTTATGTTTTTTCCCCAATCCTTTAAGTATTTTCGTAATACTATAATTTATGAAAAAGAAATAATTTTGTATCAGGAAATTAAATATATAAAAATCTAAGGAGCAGATAGGCAGGGATATCACTGGGGAAAGTAGAGGGAATCAGGTTGAGGGTCTAGTTGTCAGGGGTAGAATAGATAAAAGGGAATTTAACAGTAGTAGATCTAAATCTAAATCTAAATCCAGATATAGAAATTTGGAGTACAGATATTATCATAAAATGGGGCACATTAAGGCTGATTGCTTTAAATTAAAAAATAAATTAAAACAAAAGGAAAAAATTGTTGAGAAACTACTGAGTCTACTGAAGCTAGTATAGCAGCTGATGAGAATGTTGAAAATATTTTCTTTGTTACTAATGACAAGACGAGGTCTAAAAATAAATAGATTTTAGATTCGGGTTGTTCTTATCACATGTGTCTCAATAGAGATTTGTTTTCCACATATGAATCTTGTAATGGTGGAATTGTTTTGATGGGTAATAATGCCGCATGTGTTATTGTTGGTAGAGGCACAATCAAAATTAAAATGCATGATGGTATTGTGAGGATTCTCACTAATGTTAGATATGTTCCTGATTTAAAAAAGAATCTCATCTCTTTAGGCACCTTGGAGGCTCTTGGGTGTAAATACACAACTGAAGGTGGAGTTATGAAAGTTTCTAGAAGTGCCCTTGTTGTTATGAAAGCTTATAGGTCTGGTAGCTTATATATTTTGTAAGGAATTACTGTCATAGGCTCGGTTGCAGTCTCATCATCATCATTGTCTGATTCTAACATCACCAAATTATGGCATATGCGTTTGGGTTATATAAGCGAAAAATGTTTGAGTATATTGAGCAAAAGAGGTCTTCTTTGTGGACAGAGTATTGGGCCACTGGATTTCTATGAATACTACATTTTTGGAAAGTAGAAAAGAGTCAGCTTCAATTCTCCGACAGTTCACAAAACGAAAGGTAATGGGTTTTATTGACGAAAGGTACTCTTGATTATATTCATTCAGACCTTTGGGGTCTAGCTCGTGTTAAGTCTAAGGGTGGTGCCAAGTATATGT